CCTTTCTCGTGAATCGTTCGAATTACGTCTAATTCTAGCGTCTTGGGAATAACAAGTAAATCTCTACCGTCTTGAAATTTGTATAATAAATCGCCGCTTATGTGGTAATTCTTATATGGTTTGTCTTTCAATTTCACAATTTCTTTTATCGCTTGAATCTCTTCATCGTTTGCTTGTTGACTTCTAATTTGTGGTATAATCGGACTTTTTGCTATCGTCATAACCGGATGTCGACTTAAAGCATCGACGTGTTTCATACGAGTGCTCGGTCTCTATGATGTAATCATAATCTTCTAATACTAAAGCCCATCTCGCAATACGTGTACTTAACTCTCTCTTGCTCATGGTTCGCTGAAAAGCCGCACAATCAGTAATTATTTTGAATTGAATGCCTAGCAGGTATACTCGTAATTTTCTAAGTGCCTCTACTATAGCAAGCGCTTCTAATTCGTAACTCGTATAATTTCTTTCCTCCTTTTTCGTCTTTTTGCTCATAAAATATACTGGGTGTAATAAGTCGTCTTCGTCTGAACGCTGTAGTAGTACAGCTCCTTAACCGTCTATACTTGCGTCCGTATGTACTTCCGTTTCGTGTCACGAATGATATATTTTCAGTACTGGGTTCTGAGTTAAAATCGTCTTTAAGTACGAACGCGTTTCGAACCTTATCGTCAAAATTATACGATTGATCTTTCCGCAACATGTCGCTCAACAGTTTCGCGATCGTAGAATATGAAGGTATAAATTTTCTGAAGTAACCCGTTAATCCAAGAAAGACCCGTTAATCTTTGAATGTCTTTTAATTCTCTCGGCTCTGGATAATCTATCACGGCTTTGATTTTCTCTTGGGAAGGGTAAATTTTGCCCCCTTCTACTACGTGTCCTAAGAACTCGATTCACGAATTGACACTTCTTAAAATTAATTTGCAAACCGTAGTCGCTAGCTGTTTTCAATACGGTTCGCAATCGTTCCAACGCTTCTTGTTCGTTTGCTGCCGGCACGATCAAGTCATCTACGTAAACACTATATTTTATCTAATCAAATCCCAGAAAGCAGCATTAATGTACCTTTGGAAAACCCTCGGCGAATTACATAATCCAAAAGGGACTTTCAGGAATTGGTATTGATCATTCAGAGTGACAAACGCCGTATATTGTCGACTCTCTTTTTCTACGGATACATGAAAAAAATCCGTTTTTCAAATCTAACGTACTAAACACACACGCATCCTCTAACTTATCTATTATAGATCTTCAATTAATGATAAGGGATAACCGTCTTTTTCTATGACTTGGTTTAACTTCCTATAATCGACACATACACGCGGTGATCCGTCTTTCTTTCTTACAACGACTACTGGACTCGCGTATTCCGACGAACACTTCTCAATGACCCCGTCGTTTAACCATTCCGCTATTTGATTTTCGACTACTTCGCGCTCGGGTGCCGGTAATCGTCGCGGTTTTTGAAAAATAGGCCTTTCGTCTTTTGATACGATACGCATGCTGTCGGTTGTCTTACACTTATTTACTTGGTACTCTTCAATAATCGTCTCTACTTCTTCGCGCACTTTCGGATCCGTCGCGTCACCAATGTCTAACGGTTGCTTTTCGATCACGTTGATT